CCACAGAAAATCATGTCACAAAGGCATAACAAACAGGTTCAGGTTTAATGTCGGTGATTTTTGTAAAGTGTATCGTAGAGAAAGTTCAAGTATAAAATGTTTTACTTTAAGAGTAGCGTTAAGTGTCAGGCTGTGAAATAGGCAAAGCGATTCCATCTGCGTTGAAAGAAGAAGATTTGCTCTCCATCAGAAAGTGAGTGTCATTAAGAATGAGACAAACAGTGGTAATGAAACCTTCTGCTTTCCTAAATGTGTCTCGAGGGGCGGGGTGGGGGGTTGCGTGGGATGGGGGATGGGGACCATTCTCTCTCGGACCAACACAGACACTGATGCATGCTTTTATCACCAGTAGCATAGACTACTGTAGTGCCCTGCTCTCTGGTCTTCCCAAAAAGAACATTTCAGGTTTGCAATTATTACAAAAATTGGTAGCACGTGTCGTCCTGACAAAGACCAGGGGACAAGACCACATTTCACACGGTACACACAAATACACTGGAAAATAAAAATATGAATTATAATAGATCTTTATAAATCTTTAAAAGTCATCTGTAAAATCTTCAAATCTATTCTAAAATGGACAAGGAGCCAGTGAAGGGAGGCTAAAACAGGATTTGTCCCAAAACAAAGGGAAAAAAACACTGATGGTAATAAATAGTAATATGATAATACGTCATACTCCTAAAGTGCTTTATAAAAGGACAGGTCCATAAGAGTAAATAAAAGCTAAAGCAGGTAGGCAGTTTTTAGTTTTATTTTACTTTGTCAATCTATTTATTGTCTTTCTTTTGTTGTTCTATCATTTGAAAATTATAATGAAAATTTAAACCTCAATCATAATTGTGGCTCACCTCACTCTCACACACCTTTTTCAGTTCAAAGCTCACACATTTTCAATGGGAATCCCTAAACCACATTGAAACGACCTTGGCTGTAGTCTTGGAGTCATTCTCCATTTGGAAGAGCCATTTCCACCTTAAGATGGACAGCATTCATACTGCTTCAGCCAATATCTTCACCAGGTCTTTAGCTTTTTGTGAGTATGGTGGTTATTGTCAAGGCTCACCTGCCAGTAGGTCACTGTAGCCTCTAAAAGCTCTCCCCATGAATCTGTGACCACCTGCTGCACTTCCTGGTCATCCCTGGTTAGTGCAGATATCCCTCTCTCAGCTCAGATATTAGGGTTCTGTTCAGTATCGTTGCACCGATCACCACGGGCACTACTGTCACCTTTACCCTCCAGGCCCTCTCCGCTCTTCTCTGAGCCCTTGGTATTTATTGCGCTCTATTTTCTTGATGTTACCATCGCTTGGAATTGCCACGTCCACCATCACAATGGTTAGAGCGAACCAACCTGACATGGTTGGTTCACTAATACCATTCGGTCGGTCTGTATCCACAAGTCCCACAGCAAGGGTCACCAGCCCCTTTCAGGTAACTCGCCAGGATTTATAATTCAACAAATGACCCTGAATGAATACACTTTGAGTCATTATATATAAATCCTATGTATTAAGTATAAATATATGGGTTAGCGTTATGGTAAATGTTACATGTTTTGTCGTAATAATTAGATACATTTTTATTACAACTTCAAAAAGGAGTAGCTCTCTACCTCTTCTTTTGTATGAAAGTAGTCCTCCTCACTCCAGAGAAATGGAATTGCACAGAAAGCCCCAAAAGTCCTGGTCCTGGTCGGTGGACGAGGTCCACACGTTCCTCTCTTCAGGCTGAAAGAGAGAATTCAAAGGCAGCTCGAGGCTCAACACAGTTTTTAGGGAGATCACCAGCTCTGGATTTGTGACTAGTCTGTGGTAATCCTGGAAATAACTGGTTAGCTACGAATCCCGTTGGCCCAAAGCTCTCACTGAAATGTATTTACTGTGTGCATGTTTGATTGAGTGGTGTACACAGTGAGCTAGCTACAATTAGCTTCATTTAGCTATCAATAGCAAGCTAAGCTAACGTGCTACTGTGCTTTATCTCGTATTAACTGCAGTATTCATGTGTTGTCATTCTGTTTTGTGCTTGTATTTAAGTTGTTGTGTGTACATTTGTATGAGAATCCCTTCCCATAAGTGTGGAGATTACCAACAAGCAATGAGTGACTGGAGTACTTAAAATTCTCCTCATCTGGACCTGGTCTCAGACATACATACTGACATACGACTTTGTAAACTGTTGGTTTTGCACTCTACTTTTGTTTTTAATAAATCTGTGATTGTATGCAAGACTGTTTCATTCATTTATTATTATTGTAGCTGAGGTTTGGGTATCGATTGTTCGTCTGGTCTCGGAGTCTGCTGTACTAGACCCGGGTCCGGACTAGCCTAGCCTACCCCATGGCTGCTTCTGTCTCTCCCTCGGTCCTGCTCGAGTTGCCATATGACGAGCCTAAACCCTGGATCCTACTCTGAGGGTAGTGATAGATGCGTTAAGTGTAGTACAGTTGTAACTTTGGAATCCAGGGTTAGTGAGCTAGCACTAGCATTAACTATGCCCAGGCCGTATCCTCGGACATGCAGCCCTCCTCCTCTGCTACACAGGCTGCTGTTGCTACAGGTCCCATTCAGATTGTACAGAGCAGTCAGCACCATTGACTTCACAGTGTCCGAGTCATTCTTTTAAGACATAAGCATTTTCAACAACCACTCGTACTGTGCTGAATTTTCTATTAAAAACTTGCTGTTCGTTTGTCACTCGCCCAGCGTCCTGAAAAGGTTTTAGGGGCCAGTTCTGCAGGGGGTAAGCAGAGTCCCCTCGGGGGTAATAACCAGCTATCACGATATTATAATAAATCCATGCACCAATGTTACTAGTTACGCGTCACACGTAAATGACGTGGTTTGACAACGCTGAGGACATACTGGGGGTACTATTTTTTACGGAAAAGCACGCGAACTGGACCGCGCCGTGCCGTGTAGAGTCGAAACAAACCGTACTGATACTGTGGAAAAGCGGCATTTGCTCACTCATTCTCCACCACCTTTGGAGGAGTTTCTCATTTAGACCTCGGATATGGTGCACCTGCCAAATGCTCCCATTTTTTATGAATGACCCTTCACTTGTTTTTTGCAATGAGAAATTCAAACACATGAGAATTCCATTGAGCAGCATTTCACTTACTGAAGACAAATCTGAAAAGAAAATCCCCCATGAACAAGCAGCAACTATGGATAGCATTTAGGCTTGGCTTTGACAGCACCATGAAGGATGCTTTTTTTTAAAAGAATTGAACAAGAACATTTCCAAATGTTTTTCCATATTATTATTTTAGTGATTAGATTCTGAAAGTCCTTTCTAGCTTATGTCATATATATATAGGTATGGGTTTTTTTATATAGTGTCACCACTGAGACACCTTTATGAGAAAGAAAATGAGACCATAGTTGATACGTTCTGACAAAGATTATGTGGAACTTGTCACAGTTTCAGAATTACAGAGAAATTGGCTCTAAACTTCTTCCACAAAAAGTGCAGTATGTTCCCCACCTCATAATGTCATTTAAACTCTCTTCTGCAGACGTCATGCACTATTTCTACCGGGGCCTAATCGCTAAATTAACATATCATTTTCAAATGCAATGAAGATATTTTACCTCATACGTCTGCCAGGGTCTAATCATGCTGCTACATTATCTTCATGCAAACATGTCAATAAATATAATTCTTCGGCAACCTTTGTCTTCGACACATTGATCATGGTGCAGAGAATCAAAATTATTCTGTTGATATTTGGAACACATTTGAGCACTTATTGACAAAGAGCGAGTTACTTTTTTGTAATTTTTGTATTGACGAGCAGCACAAGTCAATATGGTCCTGTATCATTATGTTATTGGGACATTTCAAATAATGATGTTAAAACACTGGTCAAAAAACTGTTGACAAAGATGTGTTGAGTGTTACTTTTTTGAAAAAAAGAAGAAAAGCAAAGCAAGTTCTTTATTTTGTTAAATTCACAGTTTTATATATCCCCAGAACGTACAGTCAGATCAGAGCGGTCCACACTGATGTGCATCACATGATGGTCTCTGATCTCATCTTTCTTCAGCTGTTCTGTTACAGTCTGTTCAGAAATGTTTTACCTTAAATCTTCTGCAGATGGAAATGATCCTGAATCTCCTCTTTTTATAATAAGTAAATATACATAATCCAAGATCTGATTTGAAATGACACGTGCAGAGATCAGATCTTAAGTAAAGTAACGGCAACATTAATTGTATACAAAGCACAGACACCTTTCATGCTCCTCAGACTTTTTTTTCACAATTAAAGATTTATAAAAACCTTTCGTCGCGGCCCCTTTATCAGGGCCCTGTGATTCTGCTGCAGTGATGCCCTATGGAGGCTCTGACCTGAGAGCTGCCTCCCTCTTGTTTCGGAAGTGTCCAACTGTTGCTGTATTGTGTGCGCTCTGAGTGCGGCTCTGGGACACGTTTCCCACACATTTGGCGGCAACTGCAGGCGACAATAGCCGCAGCAGCTGGAGCTGAAGGCGCGGGGCCGCTGGGCCTGCGCTGACCTATAAGCTTTATGCGTTTGGCGCCTTTTTACTTATTTCAAATGTCTGCTTTTATACGACTGTCTACTTTTTATACATTACATTTGAAAGTGAATTATAATAAAAACATAAGAATCAAATTCAACTTCAGCAAGATTTATTGAATCATTTTGAAACAAACATCAAAGTAAATCTCCTTCGTCATTTATACTGAACACATAGTGTTTACAGACTATTGTTGCACAGACCAAATACTTTGAAGTCCCTCGTGCAAACCTCAACATATTAACCCTTGGGGTTTTACAGAAGTGTTGTCCACAACCCGCGCTTTGAAACCCCAAAGAGGATTGCATCTTAAAACTTTGACGGCATCTGTGCTTTTTTACATCAAATGAACAAGAGCGTCATGTTTAACATTCAGTGAATACACGTTATATCAGTAAATAAATAATACTGTACATTAATCAACATGTTTGAATAATTGTCCATTAGGATTCTACCAGGGCCTCCACATGGGCCCGTGCACAGCCTGCTGCGAGCTCCCTGGGGCCGCGGAATGAGGCTGAGGTCTGGAGCTCAGGCTGGACTTGAGGCTCTGGAGCCGCTGCTGGAGCTGGGGCAGGCTCCTGGAGCTTTGGCCGCAGCAGTTCAGGCAGGTGGGGGTGAGGCTGGCGGACATGGACTGTTGCACGAAGTCATTGACGCGCTGGCAAGCGCTCTGGTCCAGGCTGGTCCTGGGGAGCAGGGAGCTGACGCGCTGCAGACACGCTTTGTAGCCCTCCTTGTAGCTTTCTGCGGGATCTGGAGAGGAAACAAACATTCATTAGTGGACTGGAAAAGTTAAACAAGAAGAAAGAAGCGTGCGTAAAACATGTGCACGTTGTTGACAGTTGAGAGGAGGCTCACCTTTAGAGGAAGCAGAGGGCAGATCTCTCAGAAAACGAACTGTCATCTCCAAAATATCAGCTTTTTCCAGTTTGGAGTAGCGCGCATTGTCCTTCCCGATCATCGGGAGGATGAGGCTCTTGAGGTGCGTCAGGCTGTCGTTAATACGCGCGCGCCTTCTCTTTTCCAGAAGAGGCTTAAGAGTCTGCGAGGAAAGAAGAACAAGGTTAGACTCCGAGCTTCATATAAGAGGCAAATAGAAAACACAAAGTCACTTAATGTTGCTTTTAAAAAGGCACAGAAACGGTCCTCACCTTTCGGAGTTCATGCGCCTGTTTGCGCTGCGCCACAGTGCGGCCGCTCGTGATGCTTGGACTCATGTTTGTGAGGTTAGTGCGTGAGTGCGGGGTGTTCTCTGGAAGCAGAGGGCAGGAGTGTGGAGCTGAGCCAGGGACCTGCGCTTTTATCTGGGAGAGGAGCGTCTGGGGGCGGAGCCACAGCGAGAGGAGGGGGAGGCCCGTCTGCTGGTATGCGTGCATGCAGGCTGATGCTGATGCTGCTTTTCAATGGCTTTTCAAACCAAGTTAGACTGAGAAGAGTTTATTTACAACTAGATACTTGTTAGAAACAGTGATAGGATGGACTTATACATATACTTTATGAATGTAAACACGAGCACTGTATTTCCAGCTATTTTATGCCACACAAATATAAAGATATACTTAAGATTTTACTGTTTGTTTTGACCCCTCTCCTCCCCCATCCCCAAACACACACACACACACGGGGAACGGACCGACGCCAACAATAGATGCAGATCACGTGTCATGTATACGGAGATGACCAAACTTTAATGTATTCCCCAAACTAATAAAGCAGAGACCCAAGCCACGCTATGTTTGGATTAACATCTGCGATCCAGCGTTTTGAGAGCATGATATATGATGTACAGAGAGGGGGAGGAGGTCGCAGTCCAAAATGCCATCGACACAACCTCAGGATGTTAAAGTTTGACTATTGGAACAAAAAATGGGTTTTAAATTACATGCAGTTAAATTACAATAGCCGGTATATTCTTCGAGGCTTCAGACTCCCATATACTCGTGCGCAAAGCCTAGTAAACTAGTTCCAAATATATATTAAGCAATTATCCTCCAATCACCAAATGTTACGACATAATAGGCCTATAGTATAGGGTTATCTTTATGCTGGTACAACATTTTCTGATCTGAAAATGCATGAAAACAACCAAGTCGGACTGAGACAGAGGTGCTGAAAAGTGCAGTTGTTCTCACGCGCTCGGCACGCGCCAGCCCGCAGCAGATGGAGAGGATCTGTCCTCGCGCTCACATTACCCCCTCCCTCCTCCTCTATCGACCTCCCACCTCTGCACTCCATCAGCATCCCCCCTCCCCCCTCCTCCATCAGCATCCCGGCCCGAGGCAGGCGCTCGTGCACCTCGCGGAGTCCCCGGAGCGTTTTGGAGGGAATTTAACAACAGCAAAACTGAATATGACGTTTATTAGAAAAGTATTATCTTCTAAACTTTTATTTCAAAATGATATGATCTCGGGCTAGACCCCAACTCCAGAAGAATGACTCGCACACATGCACAGTAATTAAAACACTCATCTCACATTAAATAATTAATATTACATTGAATAATATGAGTAATTAATTAAATAACTTATTACCCACATATTATTATAGTGTGTTTATATATTGTGTTTGCAGTTGTGATGTTTGTCCCAGGTTCCTGCCTGACGTGAAGAATTCAAACTCTCTGCAGTTTTTCAAGCAGCCAATCACTGAAGAGAACATTCAAAAGCGCTGCAGACAATGTGGACTTGTCCCCGTCCCCGTGTCTCCTCTGCTTCATGTGAAAGACGGTTTGGGACAAGCTGCTGGTGGAGGGAGGCTGTGGTTCCCAGCCTTCTATTATTTCATAAAACAGTAACGATGCGCCGTGTGCACGCGTCCTGCCCTGCCCCTTGGGGCCCCCGAATAACTGCCACAAGTGCAGTCTGGGAACCAGCTCCTGAGCCTCTGACACGAGACAAAAAAAAAAAAAGTTGAAGAGGGGCTTCAGTTGGGAGGGTTTTGTCCTGGTTTCCGCGTGGGTATCCATCTGTGCAGCCCCCAGGGTTTGTGTTAACCCCTACACCCAAATGAGAAGCACTGAAGCCACAGGCTGTATCTGCTCTGAGAGCCACTGTGTCATATCACAACAACTATGTCCAGTCAACAATGACAGAAAATAAGAATATAGTTTTCGTCTACAAATGGAATTGTGCTTTTGTTTCGTCCTTTGTGTAATTGTATGTTTTATTAACTGTCTTTTTTATTATTAAAATTCTATATTTTTATTACGTCAAAGCCAAAAAAAAAATGGTTTTGTGGGGAAAGCTCCAGAAATGGTTATTGTCAAATTACAACAAAGACAGTATTAGTGTAAAGAAGTTGGTGATGTGTAGTTTTCCTGCGCAGTGAGCGGCATGAGACTGACACGAGCCACGGGACGAGCAGATGGAGCGCGTGCGCTGGAGCGTGAACAAAAGACCCTCTGCGCGGACTCGGACCCGGAGTAGGGACGAGGACCCAAGTATCTGCGGGTTTGGCTTCACAAAGCTGCGGCATGTGATTTGAAAGAGGGGGTGATGTTTGTCATAAATAAAATTTGATCAACAGACGCATTTACAGATTGATTGTTTAGTCATTCTTTCATTAATTCCAAGACAGAGGTGTTTTTCAGGGTTCTACTTTATATTCAATAAGTTTACAGACATTCTGATTTGGTGGATTTGTCTTTAAAGTGTTATTGGTATCTTCCACAAGCTCAATAGCTTTTAAGATATACCCACACATTTTCCAGCACTGATTTCAGGCCACTCCAAAACATTGAATTTATCGACCCCGCTTTATGTGGCATTCGGTCCTTTGCCCATGTTATGTCTAAATAAAATACTGAAGCTGCTGGATTAATCTGCATCATTAAAGTCACAAATATACATTTGAATCAACTTTTCAAAATGTATGGTTATTGTTTTCCTTTCTAACCTATCGCGGGCTATATTTGCAAATGATCATTTAATCACTTTTTCTCATTTAATCACTTTTTTTATTGCCTTCACACTTATGATTCTGCCACCTGCATGTGAAAGCCAGATCCTTTCAGATCAAAGATGCTAAGCAGGGCAGGGCCTGGTTGGTACTGAGATGGGGTATCTCTGACACAAGTGCATCATGGGGCGGCTGTAAAGTGACAAACTGTCGTTGTGTCCTTTGGTAAGACACCACCCACAATGCCTAGCATGAGTGTGTGTGTAAAATCAATGGTTGGTGGTGGTTGGAGAGGCCGATTTACTGCTTGCCTCGCTTCTGTCAGTCTGTCCCAGGGCAGCAGTGACTACGGTATTAGATTATCACAGCTGTGTATGGAGTGATTGAATAATGTCATGTGAAGCATCTTTGAGTGTCTAAAAAGCACTGTATGAAACATGCATTATTGTTTTCATTTGACTTTGCAAACATGTGTTTGTTTAAGAAACAATCAACAAAGACACGTGTAAAGTTGCCTCTTCAGCACCAGGGACAGTGCTCCCACAAACAACCAACATTGTTTCAAATCATTCCTAACACAGTTTCATGGATTGTTTGCATTAGTATTTATTCATTTATTTGACTGGGTCAGTACATGTCAATGAACATAAGGTTGACACGTCAGATTACACTCACCGTTTTGGGCTAAAAAATCTGTGGTTTAGCTACCACCCCCAGTAATTACACGAGAGGGTGCACACATGTTGAATGTGTCCCCTCTTTGCTTCTTGTGCTTTATTTAAAAACTGATGATCTATTTACCACTTTTTCATAAAGGCCAGATTTGTATCGTGAGATGAAAGCCATGTTCAGAATCTTCCAGATGAGCTGTGGATGTATGCAGCATTTCCTGTGTAACCATGGGCCTCGTGTCTGCATCTGTGATCAGTGTTGACTAGGGCTGCAAGATATGTTAAAAAGATATTGTCTTCGGGATATTTATATAGTGCAATATCCTAATTGAAAAGATGTGAACTCATTTTGATACATTTATGTATATATTTCTTGTACGCACACTGTGACAAATCTGAGAGCTAGTGCCGCCAAACGCTATAGAGTGGAGAACGCAGAGAAACAAAATAAGACGATGATGAAGAGACAAATGTAGATGAATGCATCAGATTTGCAAGACAAGACCAATCACAGAAACACGTTTTTTGCAAGTCATGCCCGAAAAACAGTCTCTACGTCGAAGGGAAACACGACATGTTCCAGAGCCACCTCCAGCACACTAACCACAAGGTACTTTTTGCTGTGTATTTACAATCTAAAACTCCACAGTCAGGCCGACTCAGCTGCAGCATAACCAGGAGACCAAGAGCTGAGTAGGGATGAAGAGACGATACACAACTGGATCTGAAGAGACAAGGAGCAGCAGGAAAATTCACATAACACAGGTACAATGAAAATCTCTCAGGAGTTGGATGCGTTACCTACTGAGACGAAATTCTCTGCAGGGATACAGAGGCACAGTGAGGGCAGACGTGCAGATGTACCTCGTCTGCAGCACAGGAGAAGCCGTCCACAGGGAGCACAGACATGTAGCAGCTGAATGGTTTATGGCTGTAAAACCTCTCAAACATATTTTATACTCCTTTCTAACCACCTGAACTCACAACTGATCGCAGAGATATCGAACCTGTGGTTCGAGTATATACAGTATGTTGTTGGAGTATATATCTTGATGAAGTATATATATTGTTGGAGTATATATGTTGATGGAGTATATATGTTGTTGGAGTATATATGTTGTTGGAGTATATATGTTGATGGAGTATATATGTTGTTGGAGTATGTTGTTGGAGTATATATGCTGTTGGAGTATATATGTTGTTGGAGTATGTATGTTGTTGGAGTATGTTGTTGGAGTATATATGTTGTTGGAGTATTAATGTTGTTGGAGTATATATGTTGTTGGAGTATTAATGTTGTTGGAGTATATATGTTGTTGGAGTATATATGTTGTTGGAGTATATATTTTGTTGGAGTATGTATGTTGTTGGAGTATATATGTTGTTGGAGTATTAATGTTGTTGGAGTATATATGTTGATGGAGTATATATGTTGTTGGAGTATATATGTTGTTGGAGTATATATGTAGTTGGAGTATGTATGTTGTTGGAGTATATATGTTGTTGGAGTATATATGTTGTTGGAGTATATATGTTGATGAAGTATATATGTTGTTGGAGTATATATGTTGTTGGAGTATATATGGTGTTGGATGAAGTATGGAGTATATATGTTGTTGGAGTATGTTGTTGGAGTATATACAGTATGTTGTTGGAGTATATATGTTTGTTGGAGTATGTTATTGGAGTATATATGTTGTTGGAGTATATATGCTGTTGGAGTATATATGTTGTTGGAGAATATATGTTGTTGGAGTATATATTTTGGTGGAGTATGTTGTTGGAGTATGTTGTTGGAGTATACAGTA